AAACAGTTTACATTCTTAAAACTATGAACTTACTTTGGGAGGATTAAATGGATACGTCTCGGGAACTTTGATTTCGAGCACAAAATTACCACCTTCGTATGGTGTGTCTGGTGGACCAGCAATCTCTCCTTTTAATTCGGTAAGACTATCGTTGACCAACTCTACTTTAATCGCACATTTTGCTATCTATTACAAACATTAAATAAATAAAGTATTAGTTGGTCAAGTTGCTATAAATATGTTATAAATGTATAATATGTAACAACTTGGACGTACAGTATATCAAAACTTATAAAACTACATGCATACGTATGTACACACGCACGCACGCACAACATGAGTAAGCAAAATGGAAATAACTTGTAACATATTATTATATAAAAAAAAAATCTGTAATTTAAGTGTTAAGTTCAAATTCAAATTAAATTCAAATTAATGAATAAATATATTTGTGACCAAACTGTAACATGTACTAATTTATTAGAAATCAAATCTATTAAGGGTTTGTGATAAGAACATATTTTACAATTTCATTTATATATATTTGGAAGGCATATAGATACAGCAATACAACAATCAAGTTGTAAAAATCATAATTTGGAGAGCAAATTGATAGCAAATGACATATTGATTAGAAAAGTAAAGACGAAGCGGTTAATTTAAAGAAAACAATTGAGCATTAAGAAATCGTAGCAGCGCAGCAATATTTCCGACAGTTTTAATGATGTACGCGATACTTGTTTTTCAATTGCATCCTTGTTTCCCCAGGCAGAAAAGCATTTTAGTTATGTGATGATAGATAAAAGGACGAGATAATAGAACCGAAAACACATTGCTAAATTATGCTCCCTTGTAAAATTCGTGTGTGGTACTACATCAGTCTCGCGGTACAATTATCAAAATAAACATGTAATCATAACCTATGTCCTATGACATCCGAGGCATGATAAGAGAAATCTCGATCGTTTCACAATAACGGAATTCATAATAATATACAAAATATACTGTCATGATATGGCCTTAGTCGCGACTATTTACGCCGAGCCGTAAATCAGCCGTTCGAAAGCACGTGCAAGTATTATTGGGGACAGATATATGAAATGCGAGGGCAGAAATGAGCAATCTGAAAAAGTGCAAAGACTCCCGGTGCGGCCGAGATTCCGAACCTGCACACGCGCATCGTGGTGAGTAAGGTCGAATCGAGCGAGCATATTTTCATTAGATCATCGACATTCGACATCGACGACAACTGTAGGACAAGGAGATGCCAATTACCATATCGTAACATTACAACATGCGTTACATCGCAAGCGGTACAATACGATATTGAGAGAAATTCGTTGAGCTCTCTTTCTCTTTGAATATTCTAGAATCTAGAATCGACAAGAAATACGGGTAGAAGTGACAGTCGAGCACTGGGTTGCGATTCGCGATTTGCGACTTGCGCGATGAGCAACAGGCTCTCCTGTCACCCGCTGTCGAGCGGATTCGTCTGGAATTGTCGACGACCGCGTGCTAGATCCCGATCGCTGGGATTGCGTAATATCGCGATACGCGGCCGCTGTTGTAGCTTATTGCGAGGATTGCGAGCATCAGGGATAGCACGCGCGAACTCTGGCTTGCTCTGGTTGCCGTCGACTCGACCGTCTTGACACTCTCGACACTCACCTCCTCACTCTTTATAACCTCTTTGAACTCCCGTTTGATTCGCTGTGCCGCGATGTTCGCCATGGCTCCCGAATCATTTAAAACGGTTAGCACGTTGTCATTGTCACTCGGACGAGGACGAACGAGCGAGCTCGTGCCCTGCGACGCGTTTTCTTGCACGTTGGCGGCGTCGCGTCGCGTCGCGTCACGCGTAGAGTGTCCTCCACGCGAATGTCGCGAAATGCGAATCGACGAATTCCGTGCACCTGCACTCAAATCCAAATTGTCTTTTCGCCTGCCTGTTCACTCGGACTCGTCCCTAACGTCCCTAAACCCTAACCGCCTAACCCAGTAACAGTCCGTTGCAACGGCCGTATCTACGAAATCACGCCGCCACCGCGCACCACCGCGCACGTACACACGCGACTCGTCGTTCGACTCACCGCCACCGGCAGCCATCGGCGCGGCGCCACATCAATGTGCAAAAGTTGACTATCACTCTCACCGCTCTCGCGCCCGCCCCTTTTAAATTTCGTCTAGATTCACGTCGCGCCGCGCAGCCCACTCACCGCTCATACGGCTCATCGCTGGCCCGGCTGGCCGCCATTTGCATTCTGCGCCCAATTGCGCTATTTACGCCGATTTACGCTATTGCGCGGATTGCGCCAATGCGCTTCGATCCCCCCGATCCCCGATGACAAGATTGACAAGATTGACAAGGACGGCACGTGTGCACGTGCGACGAATGCGGCAATCGAGATCGTAACCACTACACGTTCCGCTCGCGGAACCAACGCGATTAAAGTACGTTATCAACGCGAAGGGTGGAACAACTGGTGGAACTGGTGGAAGCACGAGCGCGACCACCTCGTCGTGAAATCGGTCAAGTAAGGTGATCAACCCGAATTAGGAGGGATAGTTTTGAACCTGATCGTCTTAGTTTTCTTTTCAGACGCGTCTCAAATTTCTCCCAAATTAAGGACACGATTATTTATTGTATATCCTTCTTTTAATGTGTGATCGAAAATAAGTGTGAAATATAATTTTCAGTTTTATTGATTTGTCTATTTAAAAATCCAAATATTCGCAAAAAATATTCAGTAGAAAATACAATTTAAAAAAATGAAATCTCATAACTCAATTCGATGTAACTTTTGTTGTAATGTCACACATTAAGTGTTATTAATTATTTATAAATATAATAATATATAATATTGTATTAGTTTAACAATTATAAGAAAATATTCGTCTTTAAAATTTAATTAAGTAATATTGAAAAAATTTTTTTTTATGTCCCTCCTTTTAAGGGATCACCTTATATTATATTTGGTAGAGAATAAAAACAATTCCGATAGGTAAACATTTGTAAGATTAAGGATCAGAATTCAGATATTTGAACGAAGAAATTTCGCTTCTTTCGTTTTGATTCGTTTTCATCAAATTTCAATTTTTAATCTCAATTTTCGATTTGAATGTGTAGTCTGTATGATACCGGTCTTACGCAAGCAATTTGGAAGGCGGCCATAAGCATATCTTCGATAAAACCGTTTATCAAAGATGGTTATTTTCCGCGTGAGATGGATAGAGAGGAAATGCGCAAACGGAATGCAGGATAAGTGTCTAAGCTAAGCGATAACGAAGCCCCGCTCCGTTCAGCTTCGTTCAACCACTGTCAACGCGCTAATTGCAAGATACTGCAGGATATAGATATAGATATAGATATATCCAATCCCAATATCCTCGTGCGGCCGCGGCGTGCGCGTAGGCGGAGCGTGATCGAGCGACGTCACGTCCGGTGCGCGCGCGATCACCGATTGGCCGACCGCCCCGGTGCTTTCTGTTGTAGTGATGCCTGTGTCGCAGCCAGTACGTGCCAAGAGTTTGTTACGCGCAAACTTGGAAAACTCACGCGCGCGAGTCTTACAGAGCAGAATGCCCAACATCAAAGTCTTCAGCGGGACTTCGCATCCAGATCTTGCTCAGCGGATCGTCGACCGTCTTGGCATCGACATCGGCAAGGTTGTCACCAAGAAATTCAGCAACCTCGAGACATGGTAATGGTCGCTACGTACGCCGCAACCACGTTTTTATTGTCAGTCATAAGACCACGTGTCGTCGCGCGTGGGCTGTGTGATAGTATGATTCCCACATGGCGAACTCCAAACGAATGCCGTCACGTTCTTCTTCTAGTCTGCTTTATTCTTCTTCCTTCGTTATTCCTTCTCCGCAACACATAGCCTCCGCGTTATTCCTTCGCAATTCGCAATACGCGGGATAACAATCAACAATACTCCGCGTTTCTTATTTCTGTCTCTGTTCCCTCGTGCCCGACCTCGCTTCACCTCGCTGATCGCTCTACGACTTCTAAACCGTTTTTCTAACTCGATGGACGCGTGCCGCGTTCGTCAATCCGCGCTACGACGTTTCTCGAAATGAATACAACGCGCGGAGCCGCGTGCAGATTCTTCTGAGCTCGCAAAATGCTACTCATCGCAAAGATCACGACGATCACGTTGATTATATCGCCATAGATGATAAATGAGAAAAATCTCGCCGTTCTTTTCCGCAGTTCACATTAAGCAGTCGCATCGATATCCTGCAGATATTAACTAGGATTTTTATTTTCTAATTATTAAAAAAAAAATTATCTATTCGAGAATCTCACTCATATTCTACTGTTCTTGTAAGATTGCAGGAAATAACGCAAGATTTAATAATGTTTAGCGTGGAGATAGGAGAATCCGTTCGTGGGGAAGATGTCTACATCGTACAAAGTGGAAGCGGCGAGGTGAATGATAATCTTATGGAACTTCTCATCATGATCAACGCTTGTAAAATTGCTTCTGCATCTCGAGTAACAGCGGTGATACCTTGCTTTCCTTATGCGAGGCAGGACAAAAAAGACAAGGTAGGCGGAACATATAGAATAATAGAATAATCACTCCATTATTTACTCCTATATATTTGTAAATAGTTGGTATTTAACTAGTCTTTATGTAAGCTGGTTATATTAACTTTATTTGGTAGCAAGTATACATATATATATATACATATATATATATA